TTTTAAAAGCTTCCCAGATGCCTCTAATGTGTAGCAAAATCTGGGAACCAAGGTTCTGGAACCTTATTATTCAAACTCTGGTCCTTGGACCAGAAACATCCACATCACCTGGGAGGCTTATATGTTTTTATTTCTCTCTGTTAAAAATAAAATAAAATAAAATAAAAGGGTAGATTTTGTATTTATCCTTCTACTTTTTGTGGTTTTCCATCTCATTAAACCTAGGGCATCCTAATAAAAACTACTAGAATTGATGGAATTTGTTAAATAGCTACATATACAAAAATAAATATAAATCTCTAAGAATAATCACTAGGTAAAAATGGAAATTAGGAAAAATATCTCACATTATGACAAAGTATAAAATAAATTTTAACAAGAGGCACTACCTGGATGAAAAAATTATAAGGTTCTACTGAAGTATACAAACAAGATATGAACATGAAATGACAGCAAGTTCTTGGATGGGAGGATCTGATGTTAAAATATCACTTCTCCAGAATTAATGTATAAATTTTGTACAATTCTAATTTTAATCTGAATAGGGTTTGGGAATTTTTTTTTCTTAATTGGACTAAACAATCTTAAAGTTTTCATGGAAGAAAAGTCTCAAATATCTAATGAAATTATGGAAAAAGAAAGTTAAGATGAGACTATTCTTACTGGCTATTAAGTCATACTATAAATCACTGAATCAAACTAAGAACTTGGCAATGAGGGGCCATGAAAAAGATATGTCTCAACACAAACTAGGTGGAAGAAAATCAGTGGGAAGACAGGAAAGATCTAGACCTGTGCTAGAACTCTTCCCTTGTACACTGATCATATATTATGGATGTGTGTGTGTGTTGTTTATAATTATAAAGTTCTCAGGTAAGATTTTTAGCCCTTTAAAACACAATTTAAAGTTATGAAGCAGAGGGGTGCCTGGGAGGCTCAGATGGTTAAGCATCTGCCTTCGGCTCAGGTCATGATCCCTGGGTCCTAGGATCAAGGCCCATGTCCAGCTCCCAGCTCAGCAGGGAGTCTGTTTCTCCCTCTCCTTCTGCTGCTCCCCCTGCTTGTGCTCTCTCCACCTCTCTCTCTCTCAAATGAATAAATAAAATCTTTTTAAAAAATAAAGTTATAAAGCAGAATCTTAATTCTTAGGTTAAAAAATTACAGTTCTATGCTATTTTTAAAATAAAGAAAATAAGAAAACTCAGAACATGTGACACACAACCAGAACTACACTCAGAATATTTTTAGCCTTAAATTTTTTATTATTAAGAGCAAATAAACTGTTCAAGAAGTTTAGACAACAAAATAAGCATCAATTTTATAATATTTATAGCAAAGGATTGGTATCCTTAAATAATGTTCTGAGAGTTGTGCTTTCACATAGGATAGGGAAGGTTGCAAGGGAATATTCCTCAAAATCAAGAAAAAAAAAAAGCTAGATAATCTAAGCTTTTTTTGAGCCCATCAGGTGCCTGAAGCTGCAAGGCAACAGGTAAACTGAATTCAAAAGGGTAGCAAGCTCCTCTGAGAAGGGGTGAGACACTCAATCTGGGTCACCTTTGGCAGAATGTAAGGGGGGTGGGGAACTAGCAGCCAAAAGAATGGGTAACCAAACAACTGATAACTTTAACAAACCCTTAAAATTTTAGTCCAATGTGTGTGATAATAACAATAGAAACTCTGGGAGCCCCCCACACAAGGGAAACCACCATGAACTTTTTTCATGGACCTGAAGCAGCACTCATGAGAAAGATTGGGGGCAGGGCTAGAGATCGAATGGAGCCCCTTCAGTAGGCCAGGTGGATATGGGCCAGGGAGTGGCTACCTCTGGAGGACGAGCACAGAACCCAAAACCTTATGTTTTAAAAACATATGCCAAGCTTAACATCACCAGTATTGAGACAGACTAGCACTGTATGTCCCTGAAATGATGCACTGAGAACACAGTATTACCCATGTAGTATTTCAGCCCCAAAACTTTAATCCAAATTTAATTATGTGGAAACAAAACTTTAGAGACATTCTACCAAACATGCGTCATGGACCCTTCAGACCTGTCAGAGTCATGAAAGGAAAAAGAAAGACTGGGAAATCATTCTAGATTAAAGGTCACTAGAGAAATAATGCAATTAAATACAACCCATGCAGTGGATCCAACTAAACACATCCTTGTGAAATTTGTCACAGACAAGAGAAGAATCAAGTTCTAGAATGAACAAAACAATGATCACATTTACACAAATCAGGAACCAGAGCGCCTTTAGGCTTCTAAACACAAACACTTAGAACCCAGAAAGGAATGGAGCAATGCCATCAAAATTCGGAAGGAAAGCATTTCCAGCGTAGAATTTTAACTCCAGCCAAGTCATCAGTTAAGAATGATGGTAAAATAAAGAAATGTTCAGACATGCAAGATCACCAAAATTTATCCTTTCTCTAGAAGTCACTGAAGGATGCATTCTACCCAAGCAGGGAAATAAACCAAGAACACACACACACACACACACACACACACACACACACACACACACGAAATTAGAAAGCAGGAAACCCAGCATGAGATAATAAAAGGAGTCTCTAGGATAATGGTAAAGGGAGATGCCTGGGTAACAGCTGTCCTGGAGGGCAACGTGACTCGAAAAATAGGTGCAACAAGACTCCCACAGCTATGTCCTCAGCCTCTGCACAATCTTTTTAACCTTACAACATGTTGGATGATGTGTTTTACCAAGAGGGAAAGAAACCAAGAAAAAGGACCAGAGATCCAAGAAACAAGAATTCCAACCCAAAAGAAAGGCAGTTTCAGTGATGACAACAAATAGAGATTCTAGAATGATAGTTGTATAGTAGGCCTAGAGAGAAACCAGCCCACACAGGAAGGAAATGGAGGGCTCTGGTAAGAACGTTTCCAAGAAAAATAAACTGGAATTGCTACATTTTGTTACAAAACTGAACTGAGGGACTACTTAGAGGTATAGGAAGAATTAGCTATGTAACAATGAAATTTAAGGCAATTATTAACTTCAAGAAAAAGAAAATGATATTCATAATATCTATAACATTCACCTGGGAATATTTTCATTTCACAATAATGTAAACACTAAATATAGATCTAACCCAAAATTACAGTATTACTGTATTAAGTTTGGGAAAGGAGAAATTATCTAATGAGAAGCTAATAGATAGCACATTACACATTTGCTATTTAGAATTCTGGAATTAAGTAAATGCCAGAAGAAACAGTAAATCGGTTCTAAATTGGTTCCGTCTAGAAGAGGGGAAGGAGGCGGGAGAGTGTGTGGACAGGAAACGATGTTGTCAGCCCTCTAGTTCTATCCAACTTTCCAAGCTCTGTGTATGTGTTATTTTGAGAAAAATTATTTTTTTTAAATCAATGATTTATCAGGTCTTGGTAAAGTTAAGTTCTGCGAAATGTAATTTCACTGGTAGAGTCTTGTTATATGAGAGCATTTCAACAAATTTGAGACAAATTATAGAATTATCTTGAGAAATATTAAACTGATATTGGCTAGAGAAATCATTGAATTATGGGTACTGCTCAGAGAGAGCTCCCTGAAAGGAATGGATCATAAGCTGGGATGATGTATGTTACAAAGAAAAAGGCCTCGGCAAAAGCCTCCGAGGGGAGAATGTAAAAATTAAACCAAGAGTTTGATTTCCCAAGGCTATCGCTCTACCTCTTTTTCAAGTGTTCCACCAAGAATGGCTCTAACCCCCTTCTCCCCAGAGCTTCCCTGGGCTCCTCCGGATGATACTGGCACAGGTATGAAAGGCATTTTTTTTCTTAGGTTGATGGGTTTATCGTCAAAGCAGGAACATTTGCTCAAAGTTCTCTGAAATGCATCATATATCCATTAGTTCAGCAATTCAAAACATATTTCCTGATATTGCGCCTGTGTCAGGCCCAGTGCTAGGCACTGGGGAGAGGATAATAAAAATGACAAAGGTCAGGCACCTGGGTGGCTCAGTCGTTAAGCGTCTGCGTTCCGCTCAGGTCATGATCCTAGGGTCCTGGAATCGAGCCCCGCATCGGGCTCCCTGCTCAGCGGGAAACCTGCTTCTCCCTCTCCCGCTCCCGCTCCCCCTGCTTGTGTTCCTTCTCCCGCTGTGTCTCTGTCAAATAAATAAATAAAATCTTAAAAGAAAAAAAATGGCAAAGGTCTCTGGCCGAAGGACAACACTTTGGGAATTAGGATTCCTCCAGGCAACTAAGAGGACTGTCTTCTGCATCCACCAAACCCTCCTCTCTGGAGCATCTTAAAGTGCCAAATGTGTCGTCAGCCTGGGACAGTGAATCCCAGCAGATGCCCAGACCAGGAAGCGCAGGAAATCTACTTGCACAGTGATCATGTGGAGGGTGCATAAAAGACAAACTGAAGCTTTCAACAGGAAAACTAAGATTTGTTTGTGGGCAGATAAGGCTAAAGTAAAAGACATAGCATTGAATCTAAACCATCTCCTGTGACTTAGATTTCTTTTTTAAAAATTGGCCGTCTTATCATTTTCTTAGTCACCTTTTCTCTAGGCTTATTGGGGGCGTAGTCCCTCCCAGCAACCTCCATCTGCTTGAAAAACAGAATCAAGAGAATGAAGAGCCATGATGACACATCCGTCACTGGATGAAAATATTAAGGGAAAAATCAACAAATGTACTACCATTTGCATAAAACCTATTAATGCTCTCTTCAGACTAATGCAGTGAATTTTACATCACCGAGAGAGCAGCTGCGATCCACTGCTTCTAGTAATGAGGAGTATTTGAAACATCTGCAAATCACTGCTCCTCCTAAATGCCAAGCAGTATCATTACTTTAGTTCTCTGCAAGTAAATACTCTGATTGTTGGCCAGAGGAAGGCATATCTTTATCAAAGATTCATCTACTGGGCTCCTCTTTGCCCCAAACGCTGTTGGGTTTCTAGTGTTTCCTGTTTTTCTCATGCTAGTACACGCAGATCCATGGCATTTCCCATTTCCGAGTTTTTTAAATCAAAATTAGTGTCTGTTCTATTTCCCCCCCCCCCCGCCTCCGGCAATCCGTAACCATTTTGAGACGTACAATCTCGGTCAGGACCTTCCCCTCTGGTATGTTGGTCCCAGCTAACAGGAGCTTTTTGCAAAGGCCAGGCAAAGCGAGCTTCGGCCCTGCTGTGCTCTACGTGTAAATAGCGAACCGAGAGGCACCCAGAGCTGTGCGGTCCGCTGCTACCGCGAGCGCACCGTGGGAGCTGCGGCAGATTGGAGGGGCAACCAGCGGGATTGGGAGGAGAGACACGGAAAAGGTGGAGAATAAGAATCATGTGTGTTCCTCGAGTGTACAACCCACATTTGAGTGACAAATGACGAGGACAACCTATAAAAACAACTAGGCGCAAGTCTACCCGAATCCATTTCCCTCCGTGTGTGTGTGTGCGTTTTCAACTAACTTTGGGAACTCGTAGACGCGGCGTCGTGCCCCTGGCAGCCTCGCCTCCACTTGGGTTTCCCGCGCCCTACCGGCCCGCTTCCGTACCTCCTTTTCCCCAGGCTAAGGATGGAGGATCCTTTCAACCCCTCAACTTTCTCGCCGGCATCCAACGTCTCCGTACCTGTCTCTCCTGGCTGGGGTCTCAACTTCACTTCCGGACAGGGGACCCCAGCCCCCGGGCCGCCGCCGCCGCCGCCTCCCGGACCACCCAGCCGCGGCATCCGCCTGGTCTTCCTGGGGGTCATCCTCGTGGTGGCGGTGGCCGGCAACGCCACGGTGCTGTGCCGCCTGTGCGGGGGTGGCGGGCCCTGGGCGGGTCCCAAGCGTCGCAAGATGGACTTCCTGCTGGTGCAGCTGGCCCTGGCTGACCTGTACGCTTGCGGAGGCACCGCGCTGTCGCAGCTGGCCTGGGAGCTTCTGGGCGAGCCGCGCCGGGCAGCGGGAGACCTGTCGTGCCGCTTCGTGCAGCTGCTGCAGGCGTCTGGCCGCGGCGCTTCTGCCCACCTAGTGGTGCTCATTGCCCTCGAACGCCAGCGCGCAGTGCGCCGCCCGCAGGGCCCGCCGCTGCCCGCGCGCGCCCTCGCCGCGCTGGGCTGGCTGCTGGCACTGCTGCTGGCGCTGCCCCCCGCCTTCGTGGTGCGCGGGGGCGCCCCCTCGCCGTCTCCTGCCGCGCCCTTGGCAGCCAGCACCTGGGCGGGGGAGCGTCGCTGCCGCGACATCTTCGCGCCCCTGCCGCGCTGGCACCTGCAGGTCTACGCGCTTTATGAAGCCGTCGCGGGCTTCGTGGCGCCGGTCGCGGTCACGGGCGTAGCATGCAGCCGCCTGCTCTGCGCCTGGTGGCAGCGCCTGCCCCAGGCCCCACGGCCTTCAGCGCCCTGGTCGGCGACTCCTGGCCGAGCCCCTGCGCCCTGCGCGCTGCCCCGCGCGAAGGTTCAGAGTCTGAAGATGAGCCTGGCGCTGGCGCTGCTGTTCGTGAGCTGCGAGCTTCCCTACTTCGTCGTCCGGCTGGCGGCCGCGTGGTCGTCCGGACAGGTGGGAGACTGGGAGACCGAGAACCTGATGGCGGCGCTGCACCTCGTGGGGGTGGCCAAAAGCGCTCTCAACCCCTTCGTCTACCTCTTTTTCCAGGCGGGCGGCCGCCAGCTCCTGAGGCGGCTGCGAAGGTGCCTGGGCGCAGCCTGCTGCTCGTGGGAGGGAAGAGCGGAGGACGATGAGGGGGCCGGGGACCACCAAGCGCTTCACCGCCACCGCTGGCCCCACCCCCATTACCACCACGCTAGACGCGAGCAGCCGGTGGAGGGAGGCTTGCGCCCACCCCCGCCGCGCCCCCGGCCGCTGCCCTGCTCCTGCGAAAGCGCGTTCTAGTCGCTCGATGGCCAGACGGGTCATCTGTCGCCGCCACCCAGCCTCCACGGAACACGCGGCTGGCCCAGGTCTATCTAGATCATACCGGGCAAGAGAGTCCCAGACATTGACCCTGAAGCTGTCCCCAGCCTACACTCAATTTCTTTCTAATGTTTACATTTCCCTACACTTTTCCAGTTTCTTCTCTCCCCTTTGGTTCTTCTCACATTTCCCAGTTCGGAGACGAGAGTTTGAGCAGCTGGGAAGTTGTAAAAAACAGTCAAAGACACAGTTATTTTTTGCAGTTCTCTTTGACGCTCCCATAGTGTTCTGGATAAGATCTTTTGGTTTAGCTGAATTGTCAAGCTTTCATTATTTGCTGTGTTATCATCCGTTTTTTACTTATTTTGAATCGTGTTTAGATCAAGTGTACCTTTGAGACCAGAGAATTTGCCTTTCTTTCCAGGAGGAAAATTCCCACAGTGCTCTCCCTGAGGGGCCTGGAAATTGTACCAGTGATACTGTCAGAAATGTAACCACGCTGTCACTGCAGAGCCACAGAGCATTTGTAAAATAAAAACATTACCCACAGAGCAATTAGTACTTTTTTCCCATGGTATGTGTTTTCTCAGAAGAAAATCAGTGTGGCCTTTATTTCCAGTCTTCACTTCAGTAGAAGCCAGGGTTGTAGGAGGGACACATAAAATAAGCTTCCCTTAGTCCCTTTCAAATACGCCCAGTCTCTGTAGGAAACTGTGCCTGTGTCCAAACTAGCCTCTACAGCTAAGGTGCTGTGCTCAGGTGGAGGCTCTCAGTGCAGAGTCCCCAGCAAACTGGAGAAGGAAAACACCAAGTTGGTGTGTATGCACCGGGCTCACTGTCCCAGAAATCTCATGGAGATTTGCAGCTGGGAAGAGAGCTGCACCCTCCCAATATTGCAGGTCTATATAAAACTCCCTTTTTAAAAATGAAGGCAATGCCTATTGGCGTGGGTTGCTAACAAAGTCAAGGAGCAGATTTAATCAGTGACCTCCTCCTCTTAACTGTCCTTGGTTCTAGAAAGTGGCAGCCTTTAGGAACAATATATCCACAGGTTTACCGGTGTCTTTCATCTGAGAATCTGCGAGCTTTCCATGATAGTGCTTCCTGTTCATGCACAAATGGCAAACTAAGATGGAGAAAGGGGAAATGATCGCTAGAGTTCACTTGTAGACCCAATGGTCTTTGAGGGCTTTCTTTGTTTACTTCACTGATGTATCCCAAACTCTTAAACAATGCTTGACATGTACTAGGCACTCAATACATATTTTTGAATAATTCATCATACGAGTCAGGCAAAGATAGAATGGATACAAGATTTACAAAAATCTCCACTAAGCTTGATTTACCTTTTTCCCAAATTCTGTCAAAAAATGTTATAGTTAAAGGTTTTCCTTCATCTGTCTAATCTTCCCCACCCTGCTTAGGATACCATGGTGTATAATGTACCAAGAATAAGTCAGCCAAAGACAGAACACAGTTGTCTTCATGACATTATTTTTACTCATTAGCATTTGATACTCATTAGCATTTTTATTCATTAATAAACATTAATTCCTTATTGTGTACCAAGCAATGTGTTAGGCATTGGACATACTAACATGAATAACACACATCTTTCCCTCAAAGACCTTATAATCATATGTAGGAGACAATCTGACAATTACTGCACAGTAGCACATATGCTTTAAATAAGAGTTCCAGTCAGGATGTTGGGTTACTGAAAAAAAAAATCTGACAACCTCAGGAGACTGAAGCAGTCATTCCAATGATGGTATGAAGGACCGACTAATGGGAAGGGGGGAATGGGGTAAAGGCTGGGATCAAGGCAGAAGCAGAGAGAGACTCAAAATATGACCTGTTGTGTCACTTTGAATGTTCCCAACTGAGAATTTAAGACAGCTGAGTTGCTGTTTCTGTTATCTGCAACTGAGAGCACCCTAACAGAAAAATGAGTTCAGCTGGTTTAAATTTATTTTCTCACATAACAAGAAGTCCAGTGGTAGAGCTCCTCCAGAGTTGGTTACTTGAGTAGCTTCATAACTTCATCAGACCTAGCTTCTTTTCATCTATTGCCATCCTGAACTGGTGGACTTGACATTAAGGTCCGTACCCCTTGAAGTCACAAAATGGCTGCTACGGTTCCAGGCATCACATTCATATATGACAATGTCCAGAAAAGGAAGAATTTTTACTCTATAGGAATGAAGAAACATTTCTTAGAAGTTCCAAGCAGATGTTCCTGCATGGCTCATTGGCCAGAACTGTATCATATATCCATATGTAGACCATTGCAAGGGAAATGGGGCCACCATGATGGCTTAGACATGGAGCTGAAGATAGGAGTTGCACAGTAAAGCAGTGAAAAAAAACGAGACTTCCCTTTTTTCTTTTAAGAAAAGGGGAAATGCTTATGGGAGGGCAAGACTGAACTTTTATACAACTGCCAAATTGTTAGGTTGATTTTTATATAATCTATTAGAGATTTTCATCGGTGCCATCCAGAAATTATAAGAAATCTCCATCTGGGCCAAAAATACAGAATACATATTCATGTAGTTAATCTGAAATTAAACTGTATTTTCCCAAGATTTTGTGGAAGAGTTGGTTGAGCCCAATTCATAGTACAATATTTCCATAGCTAAGGAACTTCCTCTAATCTTAACTAAATCTGACACTTGAAGGTAGATCTAGGTGACTTGGTTCCCATCTTTAGAGGCATTTGTAGGTTAAGAAATTTGAAACATCACCTTAGAATTTGATCCCCGGAACCTACACTGCTATAGACAACTCAAAGATTCAGTTCTGTCCCCATCAAGGAAGCCCCCAAAGGTTATTTTAAATTTAGGCTCTTGCTTGAGTGGGACATACCATTCAAACTTCACAGCAAAGGAATGTGAACAGTTGACCCTGAACTTGATCTCTTTTCTAGGTATCACCTAAATAGAATATGACTAGAAGAGAAACCAGATCACATATTTGGAGTTTGGAAGGAATCAAATAACATATCCTCATCCACTGCACATTTCCCCTTGGAGTTAGATTTTAACTAGGCTGCCGCACACAGGCCTAGACTGTAAGACTCCAGGAGCCACTATTCATAGAGATGGCAATGTAAATGTCACCACCAGAACTTTAAGGCCTAAATACAAAGAATTCTATATTTTTTTAAAAAAAATAACTGGCTGCATGGTAACATACAGCTAAAATAGGTAAACATGACCTATTACATAATTTGAAGCAGAGAGTATGTAGGAAACAGCCAGGAGTGGAACTAAAATCACAATTAGTGACTAGCTATAACTCATTTACTAAAAATAGAATAGTCGAGCTGATATTTGGAAGAGGAGGTAGATTTTTTTTCTAAGCTTCCTAGGAAGCTTCCTGGGAAACACAAAATAAAGTCAAAAAGTGGAGCAGTTTCCTTCCCATTCCTAAAATGTTCTGACTTGATCAAAGAGAGGATATAATGAAAACGAAGTCTAATTAAATTAAACATATTTTGCTGAGTTGTGAGGCAGTATAATGAAAAGAGCAGTCTGTAGAGCCTACAGACCTGGACTTGAATTTCATCTCTACCCTTAGTAGCTGTGTGACTTTAGGCTGTTTGCTGAATCTTTCTGAGTCTTGGTTTTCTCTTTCTTTCTTTCAAGTCTTGGTTTTCTTATCAGTAAAAATGGGGTTTATATTATCTACTTCATAGAACTGATGTATGTAAAAATGTAAAATACTTGATGGAGGGGGGAGAATCCTGTCAGTCTGTCTCTTCAGATTCACCCTAGTACTCAATATATGATAGTTATTATTATTTTCTAACACTGAGTGGTGAGGGATAAAATCTAGTTGAGCAATACTACATGAAGGCAAGCAAGGGATCTTGGGGAATCAATCTATGGAAGATTAATGCAACAACGGAGGCACATAATAATAGGGAAGTTCGGCCTTACAGAAGGTATACTGTGCACGGTAATTGTTTACTGTCTTCCTGGCATCCATTTCTCCTTTTCTAACAGGAATCAGATTCTTGTATCTAATGCCTCTTATGAGGAGAAAAGTGCATTGAGGGAAGCTCTAAGACTGGATCTTAATTAGTCTAAGCACATCAAAGTAATTTCACTCCCCTTACCTCCACAGCCTGCTCAGGAATGGTGATGTGATCCAGTTAAGACCAGCGAGATGTGTTGCAGGGCTAGGGGAGTTGCTGAGGCTTCTAGGAAGGAAGTCCTTAACTCTTCTTAGAAGAGTCATGAGCCCAATATGCTCTCTCCCTCTCTCTCCCAATGAAGGTAAATGAGGGAGCATGTAGTGCTCCTGACTGCTGGCAGCCCACCTCTGACCATCAGATGCACCAGCCAGAGATGAAAACACTATGCATATGGCAGAGTGGAGAGATGAACTGAGGTCCTTAATGACCTCCCTGAGCTGTCAGGTCAAACACCAGAGGCATGCTTATTGGACATACATTTTCTTATTGCTTAAGGCATTTGAGCTGGATTTTCTGTTATTTGTCACAGCAAGCTCTAATTGAAGAAGTTTGGCAAGAAAGAGTCTCATTTTAGCTTACTGCATGTTCTTTATCAAAGAAATAAGAACATTCCAAGTGTACTTTTATTTAGTCCATCAGCCAGTATGTATTGAAGAACCATATTGGACACTATATTGAGCATAGTGGGGCAAAGGGAAGAAAACCAAAGATGTAACTCTTGTATTTAAAAAATTTGTATTCTATGAAGAACTATGACTTTCATGGTAAGGACTTTGCTGAGAAATCTCAACTTACAATTATTAATGTTATAGGACATTCTTTGCAAATTCTTACCATTGGTGACATGACTGATTCATTCATTCACTCGGTCATTGGGTATTTATTAAAGATCCATCATGTGCGAAGTACATATGAACTTATATATATAGATATATCACATATCATAGACATACATCCCATTTAAAATTTTGGGTGGGAACTTAGGACCAACTATTAGTGGTTGGCCAAACCTGGAATTGACAACCACAAAATGGGTAGGAGTAATTATATAATAGCTTCCAGTGAATCACTCTTCTTGATATCCACCCTTGTGTAATCTATTCCCACAGAGTCTGGGCTTGGTCATGTCACCTACTTTGGCAGTGGTCATCAGAAGATCGTTCACAAGCAGGGTACTGAAAAGCACATACACATGGGACTTGCCCTCTCAGAAAAGCTGCCCTAACATCACCATGGCATGAAGAAGCCAAGAATGAAAGAGCATATGGAGAGGGAGGCCCAGCTACTCAGCTGTCGCAGCTAAGCCCAGTTCCCAACTGACTCTCCAGCTACATGCAGCCACATGAGTGAGCCCAGGGGAGATGAAGAGAGAACTGTTGAGCTAACCCACAGACCTGTGAGAAACAAGAATTCATATTCATTAAGTTTGGGGTTTGGTTTGTTCTGCAGCAATAGATAACTAAATGATGTCAGAGTAGTAAAATGGTGAGTAGTAAAATGGTGTTAGATACATTAAAAATGGAAGTCAAATGACCCAGATATCAGAACATATGGGTTC